GCACGTTTTTCATTTTTAGGGGCCCCCACAGGAGAATGAAGAATTACAAATAAGACACAAAAAAAAGAATAGACGAGGACTGGTTTTGTTTCCAAATTGTATGGTTTGTAAAGAGGATGAAATAGATAGTAGCCAATATTTACGCCACATAATACCCTGAAAATGGAAGTGCGAAAGGAAGGGGTGAAAAAAATGAGAGGGTATGTGAATGTGGCTCTCTACAGAGGGGGGGGAGGGGGAGGCGGCTCCAATAACCCCGCATAAGCAACACCATGTCGCTGGTTTGATTAACTCTAAACACGGCAGCGGCAAACATAGTGTCACCCGTGGGGAGCATATACCAATAGTGGCCGCAATTTATGGGAACCCTCCTTATAGGCATTGTGGCATTGCTAAATCGATGTACAAACATAGATTCGAATTCTCGCTTTAAAAAGTGGAACAATAAAAACCAGAGGGATAGGCTGTGATGGGGGAGAAGGGAAAAAAAAATGAAATAATAATAAAATAATAAGAAAAGAAAAAGAGATAACCTTAGGCGCGTACTCCTCGTGATGATCACGAACCAAGTTGTCGCGCGCGCACTCACATTTGAATGATGTGTTTATTTTTGTTCGCCTGGGCGTAAACATATTTGTCACAGAAGTAAAAAAAAGGAAAGATAACAATGGGTCCCAGGTATTCTATCACGTAAACTAATCGCCATGATATTTGAACGCCTGCAAAGGGGAAGGGGTGGTGGTGGATGGTGTGATGTAACGTGTTGGGGTGTTAAGTGAGGGGAAGGAGAGTTGGTGGGGCTCCGCTTAGAACACGTCTACTCCAATGTAATGACGACAATGAACGCGCACGCGCCCCTACCGAGATCCTTAAATATTAGAATGTCACTGTCTTTTATTCCATTTTCGTTGAACGTCCCACTTTTTAGAGTCTTCCCCGCGGCTGCGCAAACGGAAAAAAAAAAATTAATTAATAAAATAACGCCAAATGAAATAAAACACAGCGATAAGGTCGTTGGCCAGTCGAGCAATGCTCCTTTCCCCCACGTATCGCTGCAAGGGGGACAGACGCTGTGGCACGGGGGGTCTCTTCCTCCAGATGCTCCACTTTCCCCATCTGGCAATGTTATATTGTCCCTTCACTCTCGGGACAGACACATATATATATCATTCGCGCGTGTAAAAATTGTACCACTGTCTAAATTCCACTTCTGCCTCTCGGGGTAGTAATGATCTGGAAAAAAAAAAAGAGGAGGGAAGAAAAAAGTTTGCACAAATGTTTTTCTTCACTCTGATTTGTGTTGCATGACGTGAACACTGGCAGGCAAGTTACACACCGTGGGGGTGGTGGTCGGCAGAACCCGCGTGGACTTCTCTCCCTCTGTCCCTTACACTTCTTGTAGTATATTTCCTTGAACTGGTCAATGGTGGTTGACGAACTTATGTCAAAGCAGTCTATAAACTTCCCGTTCCTCTTTTTCAAAATCACTTTCATTTTTTTTTTTTTTTTGTAGATGGAGTCTCGCTCTGTC